CACCACCACCCCCCCCACGACCACCACCACCACTGCTACCACCAACACCACCACCAGCATCACTACCACCACCAACACTACTACCACCAGCATCACTACTACCATCACCACCACTACCACTACTACTACTACCAATACTACTACCACCACCAGCATCACTACCACCACCAACACTACTACCACCAGCATCACTACTACCATCACCACCACTACCACCACCACCACTGCTACCACCAACACCACCACCAGCATCACTACCACCACCAACACTACTACCACCAGCATCACTATTACCACCACCACCACTGCTACCACCACCAACACCACCAGCATCACTACCACCACCAACACCACTACTACTACCACCATCACCACCACTACTACCACCAGCATCACTACTACTACCACCACCATTACTGCTACCACCACCACTACCACCACTACTACTACTATCACCAGCACCACTACCACCACCACCACTACCACCACCAGCATCACTACTACTACTACCACCACCACCACCACCACTACTACCACCAGCATCACTACTACTACTACCACCACCAACAATAACACTACCACCAGCATCACTGCCACCAACACCACCACTACCACTACTACCACTACTACCACCACCACCATCACTACTACCACCACCACCACCATCACTACTACCACCACTGCCACCAGCACCACCACTACCACTACTACTGCTACCACCACCACCACCACCACCACCAGCACCACCACCAACAACACTACCACTATCACCACCACCACCAGAACCGTCAACACCACCATGACCACCACCAGATCTCTCAGTGGGTCTGGTCTACACAGCCCCTCTGCTCAACAGGCCTCAGGGCCCCCTTCCTTTACTCCACTCCTGTGTAAGGGAGCTGGTGAATTCTCAGGGAGTGCAAAGGGAGACCATGGACCCTGCTCCGTAGGACAGCCTGGAGAAATGCAGAGCTCCGGGAGTCGGACAGACTTGGGTCTGCACCCTTTCCCCTCCTCACTGACGGTGGGAACCTCACTTCCCTCAGCTGTACCTGGGGCCGCTCTCCCTGCCTTACGGGTATGCAGAAGGGACAGCATGAGACGGGGAGCGCGGGGCATGATCACTGCAGGGCGTGGTGGGCACCTTTCAGTATTTCCTGCTGTCTCCCCACAACCGCATGGCAGACAGACGAAGCTGACGTGCAAGGTATTCCTGGGTCCCTCCACATCAGGGGTGGACGACAGCGTGGCTGCCCTGCAGGGCTGGGCTAGGTGGCAGGTTCCCTGAGGGCTGGCCGCTGTCCCCCAGCTGTGAGTGGGTGGCTGTGGCCTTGCAGGTGGCGCCTGCTTTTGCCTTCCTGTTGGTCCTCGCACCACATGAAAGCCCAGGCCTGGCCCTCTGGCTGGGGCACAGTAACACCCCGTCTTGGTGGCTCTGCCAAGGGACCCCCAGCCCTGCTGGAATCACTGCTACTCATGCACAGGAGGGGGCCGGGGGAGGGCCCTGAAGCCGCAGCAGAGCCCTGTGTTGGTGAGGCCCACACTAACTGGGAGTTAAATGCTAACTGTGGGCTCCCAGGACGGCCCACTTAATTTCTCCCTTTGTTGGCTGAGTCCCAGCCCCCCTGCTCCTCCAGGCCCCTCCCCACATATCACACCAGCTGGAGCGCGGCCCCACCCCTAATTATTACCCAGTGGCTGCCAAGACACAGCCTCACCAGTGCGGAGGACTGCACACGGGTGCAGAGCGTGACAGCGACAGCAGCAGGTGGGCCGGCACAGAGGCCGGATTACGCCCGTGATCGCTGCCATCCCTCCCCACGGGCCGGAGCCGCGCATGCTCCATGCAGCTCGGTGTGGTCTCACGCCCCCTGCGGAAGCAGCTCCAAGCAGGGGGTGCTCTCTGGGCACGGAGGTGTCCTGGGATGTGCTCTTCAGTGTGGGTGCAGGACCATTTGGCCCCAAGCAGTGGAATCCCTGCTATAGCGTTGTGCCTGGGTTAGCCCCAGGGAAGGGCTCCTCTACTGAAGTGCACAGCAGGCCTGGCCCGCTACAGTAAGGCCGGACAGGCCTTTCAGAGTAAGCCCGACCTTGGGCAGCTCCTCCCACACTCCTAGTACGTTTCGTGGTCGTCTGCCTGCCTCACATGCTGGTCATTTATCCCTGACACCCACGCGTGTCCCTGTGGAGATGCGAAGGGGCGTAGGGCACAGGGGCTCAGCCGGCAGCACCTGCTCTTGGGCTTTCTTCCCCAGAGCGGGAGAGCTGGTCCGGAGCACCACGTGCCTGCTGTGTCCCCTCTCATAAGGACCTCGGGATGAGTCTGAGAAGAAAAGGGACCTGTCCCCACAGAGGCTGGGGGTCAATGGCTTGCCCAGAGACACATGGCAGGCCCTAAGCTGTGGGTCACGGTGGGTTCTGACCAGTGTGTCCCCATGGCAATGTGTGTTCTAACAGCGGAAAGACGCCACGTCCCCACGCGAGGACAGAGACAAGGGACGCTCCAGCCCTGAGCACAGCTGCCCCTCCAAGAGCTGTGGCCACCCGGCCAGCTTACCCAGCTGCTCCCGGACACTGTGCTCCAGCCCCGCGGGGGCGCTCTCCTCTCCTTTGCTCAGAGTCAGCGTCTTCTCTGGCAGCTTTAAGGTGGCTTCAGTCTTTACAGCCCTCCCATGCTTTCCTGCCTGGGCAAGAAGGCCGCTTCCAAGCCGAGGCCTGAGCCAACGGCCCCGCCGCGGTGCAGAGAGCTGGAGTCACGGCCGCGCTCTGGACGCATGTCGGGAGCCGAGGGCTCTTCACAGACTGTTTCATGGTCAAGGGCACTGCCGGTGCCTGCTGGATGGCAGCCTGCACCCCGAGACGGGGCTCGATCCAACAAGAACAACATGCTGGGCGTCCTGGGACTGTGACGCATGGCGGGGAGAGGCAGCAGGGCCGCAGGCCCCACAGGTGACGGTTCACTATCAAGAACCGCCAGGAAGTTGAAAACTCACACAGGGCCCCGTGATCACCAGTCCCGGAGAGCTGTGGGGCGGTGGAGCGTCGTCCTGACTGACCTCGAAGATCTCTAGTGCTGCCCAGCAGAGAGCAGGCTGGCCACTACTCGGCAGGGACCTGCTCATGGCCCCAGAGGAGCAGGGCTGGGCCAGAGGCCGCGGCTCCTGAATCCAAGCCAGGCCTGCTGCACGAAGCAGGATGCTGGGCACCGCCTTGTCAGTCTCCGCGGGAGCCTCCTGTGCCCTGCGGCTCCTCAGAGGCCACATGTGAAGCTGCCCTTCTGCAGGACAGCCCCACGGTCCCTCAGCAGTGCCCGCACAGGCACCACCACTGCTCCGACCACTCCGTGTCCCTCCCCAACTTCACTGCTGCTGGCCTTGAGTGAGTTGCTTCTCCTCTCGCCTCGTTTCTCCATCCGGAAATAGGGGTGCTCTCACCTGCGAGAGTTGTTGCGAACACTAAGGTGCACACTGCCGTTGGAAGCACTGCCTGAAGCCCGGGGTGCTGCTGGACGCAAGGCCCGGGTGTAGACCCCTGTGGGGACCTCTGTGAGGACCCCTGGGGACCCCTGTGTGGACTCTGTGGGACCCAGTGGACCCTGCGTGGACCCCTGTGTGGACCCCTGTGGACCCCTGTAGACCCTGTGTGGACCCCTGTGGACCCCTGTGGACCCCTGTGGGGACAGCAGCTCTCCAGAGAGCCCAGAACCAGCACAGGTGTGACTCGGAGGTGGAGGGAGTGAGTGCGGGTCTGGGGTTTGTTTTCCCGCCTGTCCGGGTGAGTGCTGCAGGGCTGGTGTTGATGAGTGGCTTGTGTGTCGCTAATGCTAACGTGTCACTCCTGCAGCTGTGGTTATTACCTACTATTAGAAACCTCCACTGAACGCACGACTAAGGGGCCCCGCCCTGCAGTGGACCGAGGAAGGGGGAGGACAGCCGTGGAGGGAGGACGCAGTGTGTGGGTGGGAGCAGAGGGGCGCCTGCCGGTCTGCCCAGATGCAGCAGTGGGCAAACCAAACTGGGCGAGTGCCCGGCCTGCAGCCTGCATGGGGAAGGGCAGGCAGCGTGGTGCGGCTGAAATGCACAGTGGCGAGAGGCACAGGGTTAGTGGCCTCAGAGGTTGTGTCTGCTGCCTCGCTGACCTGTCAGCCTGGCACAACGGATTATGAATAGTCAATGGATTAATAAGACCCAGGCCCCGGACACGAGCATATAAGCAGGGTTTAGAAAGGCATGGAGAAATGAAGAGGGCTCCAAGAGGTGCCACAGAGAACGTGAATGCAGAAAAGCGTAAAAGCAACGTTCCAGCACAATGAAACGTCAGTATTGCCAAAGCAAGGCCCCGTCTTCCCCCTACTGCAGTCAGCATTCCGGCACACTAAGGAAGGGCGCCAGGACCCAAGGGAAGGTACAAATTAACTAGAAAAGGAGGGAAAAATCCAGAACAACCACTGGCAGGTAACAGTGCATGCAGAAAGACTGGGGAAGGCCAGGTTGGGTCTGGGGACTGGGTTCCAGTGCAGAGGTCCCCTGACCAACTGTGGGACACTGGCCAGGCCACTCGACCACTTTGGCAACCAAGTTTCCTTGTCTGTAAAATAAGAATCGGCGAAGGCCCAGAATTCTAGAATTCTAGGACAAGGAATGTGGAATGTCCCTTGAAAGTTGGCATTACAAAGATCACCATGCACAGGAGAAGAAAAAGGGGACTGAGTTTACTGAGCCCGGGAGAAAAGATGAGGTGTGACTCGCAAATCATTTTCAACCATTCGAGGGGCTGCAGATAGCTTTTCTTTCCGTTTTTCTTTTCTTCTTTCTTTGTACGTTTGCTATATGGCATGTGGGATAGCAGGGGTGGGGGTGGGGGAAGGAGAGAGGGAGAAATCACCCCCCAGGGGGGATGACCACGCCGCACTTCCCTTCTCCTCCATTCTCCTCTCAGGAGTTTGAGCACACACGCACAGGCGCTGGTGTGTCTTTCAACTGCCTAGTCTGGGACACGAACTGCACTGTGGGCCACGTAGGATCCAGCTACCTTAACCACTGCTCCGCTCCACAAGCCGGCCCACAAATAGCTTTTCTTAATTGTCACCAATGGAAAGGCAACAGGGAAATGGGCTGGAAGAGAGTAGCAGGTCACTAGAGCAACTTGGAAAATCTGCCTCTGACTCTGCTTTCCGTTCAGGGGACTTCCTCCGTCCCCGCCTCTACGTCTGAAATGCCACCTCTTCCCCTGGCTGACAGCCCCACAGCTGCAGACCCGGAGTGCAGCTGCCACCTCCCGCAGCTCCCACGGGGTGGAGGCTCAGCCCAGGGCCTCGCTTTCCCCAGGACACCCTTCTCCAGCCTGCGGGTGGCTGTCGGCAGGTCCTCCTTGCAGCCATGCCTCCTGTCACTGCCCGTCACCCCCGAAGGCCTTGCTGACCCTGCAGCCTCCCTGTCACAGCACCCTAGTCCGTGTCCACACTCCTCGTCCTGTTCTTTGTCTGCTGTCTGTTTCCACCATTAGATGGCAGGTGCCAGGAGAGAAGGAACCCCACTGTGCTAGTCAGTGTCTACCCCACAGGCCCTGGCACAGAGGGAGGCTCAAGGAACATCCGGTGACCGAATGAATAGTGACATGTGAAAACTTCAGTAGAAAAGCAGATATGCTTTTCTATGCCCCAGAGCGTAGGCCAGCTCCCACGTCAAACACAGCCTGCCTGACCCCTTCGTGCCCTTTGGGAGATGAGGCACTTCTTCGAGCTGGGCCTGCTGGCCTCTACTGGGGCTGCGCCTCCATCAGGTTCCAACTCTGCTCATGGTGAGGCTCTGTGCAGAAAACAATGGTCTCTCATGCCTGCACAAAGCTGCCACCACCAGCAGGCCCGGGTCTTAGGCCTCGGGCCCAGGGCTGACAGGGGTCCTCCCCAGCGCCAGCCAGTCCTGTTGGGCTTGCCGGTGGAGGGTCTTAGAAGGGATGGAGAACTGGACCTTCCAAACAACGTAATCTGGCAAAGACAGGCACAGAATTCTTCAGCTCATTTTTGCAGGCTGCCAAAGAAAGCGAGTGGGAATGTATTATTATCATTATCCAGTGGTGTGGGGGTTGTGGGTAGCAGGGAAGATCAGGTGGGTTGCAGGAAAATGGGACATTTTTCAGTACTGCATGTGATCTCTCTCCTAGACTAACTGGGAATCAAATACGCCACTGCTCAAGATCCGTCCGCGGTACACGGAGCCAGAGTCAACCTGATGTTGCCATAGGAACCAGATTCTTCCCCAGCGCCATGGCAACAGACTCCAAAGTGTGTTAAACACAGTCTGCTCACAGGGCACGTCCTCAGCTGAGGAAGTGAGCAGCAGGAAGTGGGGGCGTTGTGCACGGATGTTTCCTTCACCGATTGGTTAGAAATGCGAGTAAGCGAGGCTCACTCTGAATGGAGGCGGTCGTGGCCAGCATCACATGAGGCTCACTCCGACACACAGCGGACTCCACTGCACCTCTGGGACACCATCACTAACCACCTGATGTAATCACAGTAAGGTCGCTCCCTGAGGAAGGCTTCCTCCCATGGTCAAGTGAAACAATAGCAAACAACCAGCCAGCCGACAAAATAAAACACAAAACAGCTAAGAAGGGGCTATTCTGAAGCCCAAGACCAATAACTTTTTTTTTTTTTTTTTGAGAGGTTTTTGCTATAGGGTGCGTGTGCTCACCAGAAAGACAGAGAAAGAGGGACAGAAAGTGAGAAATCCCCCCCCCGGGGGGGGGGTGGCCACGCCACAATCCCTTCTCCTCCATTCTCCTCTCGGTATCTTGGGCATGCACACACACGCGCCTGGCATGAGTTTAAGCCACTGGGTCTGGGACTCGAACTGTAGTTGACTACATGGAAGTCCAGCAACATAGCCATTACGCTAACTGCTGGTCCCCCAATAACTTTTTTTTTTCCTGGATTTCTAAGTAACGATGAACTTCTCCACTAAGAATAGCTGAAAGAGGGCAGAAGGAAACGGTAGCACCACCCCCTCCCCGAGACTTTTAATGGTCAGCATCAATTTGTTTGCCCTGGTGATAGGGCTGTCCCACCATTAGGTAGAAATGGCATATCTGGGGACCAGCAGTTAGCATAATGGCTATGTCGCTGGACTCCCATGTAGTCGACTGTGGTTCGAGGCCCAGGACCACATGCCAGGTGCGTGTGCATGGCATGCCCAAGATCCCGAGAGGAGAATGGAGGAGAAGGGATTGCGGCATGGCCATCCCCCCAGGGGGTGATTTCTCGCTTTCTATCTCTCTGTCTCTCTCTGTTGGGCGAGCACACGTGCCCTATAGCAAAAACCTCTCCAAAAAAGAAAAAGAAAGAAAGAAAGAAATGGCGTATCTGAAAAGAACAGACCTCCAAAACAGCCTGTAATTTAATTCCTCAAATTTGAACGATGTTGTCTGAGCACAGGTAAGAAAGCCAGTTATGCCTTGGCAGGTGTTGGCCATATATTGTTGTTGCTGGGCTTTCTATATCATGGATGCACATCTCCTCACTCACTGCCAGTGACCCAGAGCAGCGGTTCTCGGTGTAGTCCCCAGAGCAGCAGCAGCCGCAACAGCAGCAGAATCCGGGAGCTTGTTAGAAATGCAAATTTTTTGCTGAACCAGGAACTCCAGAGATCTGTGTTTTAGCACAGACCTGTTGCAAAGCAAAGGTTGAAAACCACTGGCCTAAGGAATCTGTACAACCTTCAACGTTGTTTCTTCCCTGCCTAGGTCTTCAGCCAGTCACTGATGAGACTGCATCATCTCATAGCTAGGAGGGTCTTTCCAGATGTTCCAGTCCAACTTCCTCTGGACGAAGCTGCCTGTCATCACTCACTAAGGACACATTTGTCCCCCTGAGCTCACCACTTTGCAAGATGGACATTCAAGTGCACCTTGCTGGTTTCTAAACTCTGCATCCCTGTTATTCCTACCCAAGAACTAGTTCTGCTTCCTAAAGCCACTCACAATTAGTCTGATGTTCCTCCCCTGTGGTAGTCCTTCTTGTATTTGAAATCAGCTTTGACTTGCCCCAAACACCCTCCTCTCTAGGCTGAACACCCTCTGATTCCTGCTCAGTTCTTTGCACATCACGGTTCTAGACGGTTCCCTTAGGCTTCCTCACTGGATGGGACCAGTGCAAGAGGAATTTCCTTGATCCTCTGGAGACGTGGAGGGCAATGGCCCAGATGTACGTGGCCTGCACAGAGGGCAGGGGACTGCCACTCCCCCGGACGTCATAGCCAGCCATCAGTGTAGCCTGGTGCTGTGAAGTCCCTGGTCTTTAAGAGATGCAGTAGGTTAGGTTAGTCAGTCTACCTCCACGTCTATTTTTCTGAGTCTAGGCTCATAGCTTTACATGTCTAATAATAAATTTATCTCATTAGTTTGGGTCCAGAATTTGTATTCATATACAGTGCTAATGGATTTATTTTATACAGTGTAGAATTACAATATTATGCATACATATTTTCCTTTTAAACGTTGTCATGCTGGCCGTATGCTTTATATCCCAGTATCAATATCAAAGGAGCATTTCAACTTGGCTTCAGGAACATAATTTTTATCGGCTCATCATATAAATTATAACATGATTTGTTTAAATATTCCTCTTGGACATTAGGTTCTTTCCTTTTCTTTGTTATTATACACAGTGCTGCACTGCGCATCACTGTACTTCACATAAATCTTTGTCTAATTATTTTCTTAGTCCATATTCCTAGAAGGAAAATTACTGACAGAGGGTATGAACATTTCAAAGACCTCCATACGTATCACTAAATCATTTCCAGAAAGGTTATTCAGTTTCCTATTTCCGCCATTGTATATGAAAGCCCATTTTACCACACCTTTTGCTAATGTATTATTTTCTTTAAAGTAGCTCACTTTTTTTAGAATTATTTTATTTAATTTTTATTTATTTATTTTTAATTTGATCAGACAGAGGGAGAAAGAGAGAGAGAAAGTGAGAAAGCAAGTTGCTTGGTCCGAGACTCAAACCGCAGTTGGCCCATGTGAGAGTCCAGCGCTTTTAACCACCATGCCACCTGCTGGCCCCAACTAATGTATTATTTTTAAAAAACTGTCATTTTTAAACTGTCATTCTCATAAATGAAAAGTGACATCTTGTTTTAATTTGCATTTCTCTTTTACTAATGAGGACTACTTAAAAAGCCAAAGTACTGACCAAGTGTCAGCGTAGATTTCATGAATAGAGTTTATTCATGTCCTTTACCAAGATCTTTAGCAGGGGTATAAGTGTTTTTCTTACGAATTTCTAAGATGCCTTATACAACAGCAATACAAATCCTGTGTCTATCATTATTTTTAAATAAATGCATTTCCAGTGTGTTTTTGCCTTCCACAATTTTCTATAATTTCCTGGAGTGTGAAAGTTTTATATGTTTATGAGTTGAATCTCTTAATTGTTCCCATTGTACTTTCTTCCATTATCTTTATGCTTCAAATGTCCTCTCTAATTCTGAGAATAATTAAATTTTAATTTTTCCCCAATCCTTATGGTTTATCATTTTACTTTAACTCTTTAATCCATCTGTAATTAGTTTTGGCTAAATGTATAAGGTAATCATATAAAGTTACTTTCTCTCCAAATACTTAGTAATCCAGCTCTCCCTCCTAGCTCACCCTCTTCCACTGGACTCAATTGCTTCCTTTAAAATTGGGGGATTCTCTCGGGCGCCAGCAGGTGGTGTGGTGGTTGAGGGCACTGGACTTCCAAATGGCAGACCACAGCTTGAGTCCCAGACCTGGGAGCTTGCTTTCTCACTTTCCCTCACTCTCTCTCAGTCTCTCAAATGAAAAAAAAAAAAAAAAAAAGACAATAAAGTTAAATCAAAAAAATTCTTAAAAAAAAGAGTAGGGGAGTCTCATGATCCATATTTGCATATAAATAAGACACACTATTTTTCATTTTTGAGAAGCATTTTAAAATTGTTTTGACCATATATGAATTAGGGGTAATTTCAAACTGGTTTTGTAAGGAAAAACAGATTTTGTTTCTATTGGGATGTCAGGAAAGTCGTGACGCATTTTTGCATAGAGAAACAGAAAGATACATCATGACTTTCCCAACGCCCTGACAGTGTACACATTGGAGATGTACAAAATGATCCGGATTCTCTTTTGCCTCTAAACTGATCCATTACTTGATGGCTCTGGCCTTCTAATTTCAAAATTGTGCTACTGCACATGAGGTGATTCTGAATACGTCTCAAAAGTCATAGTGTACACGCCAGCACGGAGCATTCCTGGAGATCTTTGCCTGGCTGTCTCGTTCGCGGCTGTCTGTAGATCCCTTACCGGCACTACTCTGTTCCAGTACGCTAATACGTTTTCTCACGTAGAAGAGGGTTCTTTCCAAGTCCTGTACATGTGGTCCTCAGTGCATGCTTGTTTATTCTTACAGATAAACTCTAAAATTATTTTGTCAAGTACTCTCCACCAAAATACCTCCCAAAAAGGAAAATGAGAAAAAAGAAAAAGAAAAATGAAAAGAAAGAGAAAACACACCCTGTGCTGTTTATTGAAACTTCTTTAAAGGTGTGAATTAATATGAGAGGATAAATATTGGATATTATTGCATGCTGCATTTTTTTAGCTGACTTACTGAAGTGATAATATTGTAGTAATAAATTTCCCCATATCAAATAAACCTTGAGTTCACTTTACTTTGTTTTACTTTTTCATCTCTGCATGTACGAGATTGTTCTAAAACTATTTTCCTTTATTTATTTCTTTGTTTATGTCACCTTTGGCAGGATAATGCTAATTTTACTGCATAAATTTTTAACTTTAATCTTTTTCTCTGTTTTGGAACAAATCATCTAAGCTTTAAAATTTATATTTTTCTAGGAAGTTGCCATTGAGATTTTCAAACTTCTTACCATTCAACTGTAAGCAGCACTCATTTTCTTCATCTTAAAATTTCCCCTGTGAGTGTTGTATTTCCTTATTAAGCTCACTCTCCCTTTTATTTCTAAACTTTCCAGAGGTCATTTTTTTTATTATTATTTCATAGCACTGGCTCCTTGATATATTCATCAAATCTATTCTTATACTGTTTCCGCCGGCAGGTGGCGTGAAGGTTAAGGTGCTGGATCCCACATGGCCAACGACTGCAGTTCAAGTCCTAGAACTTATACTGTTTCCTAAATAATTTTATTTTTAGCCTTTTTAAAAAAAAGTTTACTTGGTGAAAGAGAGAGGAGAGACAGCACTTGCCATACTCTTCATGTCATGATCCTCTCCCAAACCCTGCAGCCAGCCAGGACGACAGCACTCTGCAGACCCCCCCCCTGGTATGCCTGAGCAGCTTCTGGGACATGAACCTGGAGTCCTGCCGGAAGGCCTCCAGCACAGTGCGCCGGGCCCCACCACCTATGCCGCCGCCACCAGGCCTGTGTCTATCCTTTCCGCATCACTTTGCTTTGTGTGTCTCTTGTACCCTAGGACATGGGTGGGCTTTATTTTTTAGCTTAAATCTCCAAGTCTTAGCCTTTTAGCAATAAGGGTATGTAACCTATTTACATAGCTTATCATAGTTAATGTTTGCCCTTTCACCGTTTTGTTTTATGCTTCTGGATATTTTGTGTATATTTGTATTCTATTTTTTGTCTCATAGAATATTCTTCACACTTCGTTTAATCTTTCCCTTTGATGTTTTTGAAAGTTGGAATCCTGGTTTTTAGTCTTTATATTTACTAAATGCATATGCAATCTAAACTTTTATAATTTATAAAATTCAGAACAGAACTATAACTCGTGGTTCCCTTCATTAAAACAAATAATTGTTTAAATATGTGTAATGACTACTTTCTTCCAGTAGCCAATATTTCTCTCATTAATTTAACCACATAGTTTATATACACACATTCTTATCCTATGATTATTACTCAAAAAAATTATTTTAAAAATAAATTGTAGAGGGCCAGCAGGTGGCGTGATGGTTAAAGGCACTGGAGTCCCACAAGGCCAACTGTGGTTAGGGTCCCAGAACTGGCAGCTTGCTTTCTCTCTCTCTCTCTCTCTCTGTTCCTGTCTGGTCAAACTAAAATAAATAAGTAAGTAAATAAATAAATAAAATAATTCTTCTAAAAAATTCTAATTTTATTTTGTAATCACAGTTAACATAATTATTTTATTAATATTGGTAAGGTTGATAAGAATTACAGTCTATTTGGCACTTTACCTAGCTACTGAATCATACCTTTTCAGTGAGGTTCAGAAAGGTTAAATAACTCTTGCATGGACCCCCAATCAGTAAGTGGCAGAAGTGGGATTCATTTGTGAGTCTCTCTGATCCCAGAGCCTACGCTCTTAATTATTATGCTCTAACTTTATTTAATGAGTTTCAAGTTCATCGTTGGCCCATTTTATACTATCTTTAGAGTCTTTGATTTTGATTCACCTCAGTCAGCTATAATATTGATTCATTGTCTCAAGAGGAGGACATAGGCAATCTATTTTGAGACCTTGCATATCCTAATAAGTCTCTATGATGTTTTTCTCTCTGAATTATGATTTACTTAAAAACCCAGTCGTGTGAGGCTGTCAGTGAGCACGCACGTGGCACACCGGCCAGGAACACGCCTCTCAACCCACACTTTTCACGGGTGGGATTCCACTTGCCCTTTGACTGCTCTTTCTTGCTCTTTGTTAATTACAGTGTTTGCCAGTTTTAACTCTGTGTGTGTGTGTGTCTAAGTTTTTGCCATAGGACATGTGTATTCACCAGAGAGAGACAGTGAGAGGGAAAGTGAGAAATCATCCCTCAGGGAGTTGGACATGCCAGTCCCTTCTCCATTCTCCTCCTGGCATTTTGGGCATGCACACAAATGTACCCAATGTAATTTTCAAGCCACCAGGTCCAGGACTTGAACCGCAGTTGAGCAGATGAGAGTCCAGAACCTTAACCACTATCCCACCTACTGGCCCTACTTTGTTAATACACTTATGGTGCTTTATTTTAACATTCTTAGGAAGCATACCAAACATGTTCGGTCTTCTGTCACGTGAAGAAGCCAGTACAGATTAGGTCGTTTTCTTTTTCCAATACATGGTATTAGTCATCTCTCCCAATTTTGTGTCTTTGACAAATTCAGTAAGTTTACTTTTTGAAATTTCATGAAGATCAATGAAGGTCTAAAAGAGTCCAACCTGGTGGGGCCCCAAGATCTGTTTTGAGCCTTTGACCTTTGAGC